CATTGTTAGCAGAAAGTTAACTCCATAGTACATGCAAGATTTAGAAAACACAAAGCAAAAGCCACGAAAAGAATGAACAAGGGAAGCACAGTATTGCTTTGACTTGGAGGAGCAAACTCATCTTCTGTCAGGCAGGAAGGAACCAGTTGCTTTCTCCAGCAAGCATTACTTCAGTCATTTGTGGACAGACGGGCAGCTAGCTCTTATCCACATCTCCATCTTCATGAATCACTGCGTGATGGTTTGGCTGCCCTGAGTGGATCTGAGAAGAGAGAAATACAAAGAGCAGATGTCATCAGCACACGATGGAAAGAACAGCACATAGTTCCCTAGCCACCCTTTCATAGGCACTGGGAACATGAAGGACAGCTGGCAAAGACCAGAGTCTCTTTGGAAGAGAGGAACAGAGCTGCCTGAGTAGACCCTGCTACTACTCATGGTGGGACAAGAGCAGCCAGAAGTCCCTGATGTCAAGGAGCATGGAGACACCTGGAAACATGGCCATAGCAAGGGCCTTCTTCCTCCTAGCCAGGAGGAAATCGGTAGCCAACACTGCAGGGCAGCCCTGGGCAACAGGTCTGGTTAAAGTCATTCCAACGGATTTAAGAGCTTCAGCCACTGTGTGGAAGAGATTCCCACCTATCTCCACCCTTCCCCCCCCCCCCCCCCCCCCCCCCGCCCCAGGCACCTTAAATGCAGCTGAGCTGAGCTGAGATGGCGCAAGGTCTGGAGTAACTCAGTGCTTGTCACCCACCTCAAGTCAGCAGGCCCTAAGCCTTTCTAATGGCTTCATGTCTTTTAGGAGATCTTAATCATATAACGATTGCATCATTGAATCAGTTTGGTCTAGCCCCGACAAATCCTCATTTACATACTATTTTGTGTTCCCAGCTCTGTCATTAATGTTTAATGCCTTAATTCAGCCATCAATCCCCACTCAGCAAAACCATTCAGCTAAGTACATGTTTAAAGTTAAGCACATTCTTAAATGCCTTGCCAAAATGAAGCGGTCTTACACACATGCTGACTTGCTTTGCTGAATTGGGTTTCCACGCACTACAGAGTTCACTTGCTGCAGGCAGCTTGAAGAGAAGCCTTCCTCTTCTCATTTGCATTCATATGTAAGTGGGTGGCTTGTGAAGGACACAAGTCTTCTGGGAAGTCAAAGCATTGTACTGAAGGAGATGGTGACTGCAATCCTATTTTGATTATGCTGTTGCTCCATGTCATGGTACAACCAAACAGAACCTTTTATATTTTCTAAATTCTGTTAGGCTGATTTATTTTAAAATGTAGCAAGTGCTCTAATGAGCTCTGTACATGATAAACTAATCAGATTGAGATAACACCGGGTTGTTGGTGTAATTCAGATCTCAAAGGAAGGAAAAATCAGTAAATCTTGAAAAATATGCCATTTTGTCCCTAGGATATCACAGGGAAGGAAGGAAGGAAGGAAGGAAGGAAGGAAGGAAGGAAGGAAGGAAGGAAGGAAGGAAGGAAAGAAGGAAAGAAGGAAGGGGAAGAAAAAAATTACTGATGGATTTCTTAAAGCACAATGCCTACCTTTTTCGACCAGACTCTCACTCAATTCTTTCAGGTATTCTTATCAATAATTCAGTAATACAAGTCTTTGATTGGGTGGGTGCTGGAGAGGAATTTCTCTTGTTTGTAGTTTTCAAATTCCTTTACTGATGTCTTTCTACAGAGGAAGGAATGATACAAATATCATATAAGCCTTTGCAACTCAAGGAGAACAGACGATTAATTCTAGCAATGTATTTCCGTTGTTGTTGGTAATGGTGGAAGCAATAGTGAATTAATTGTCTTTCGTGACCATATTTTATATATACTTTAGGTTAAGTGCTTAAAAAATCTTATGTGGTGCTTGTTTCAAGTATTTTAAGTGCTTAAGAGATGCTAGAACTTCTGCGTTCCTTCACAAGACAGCCATTTCCAACAACAGCTCTTACATGTGCCATATACCCCTACATCAGAGCACCCCATCTCCCCACTGAATATGGGCAGACAAGAGAAGGGTGTAATCTGAAGGTGTGGTTTTGTTTTAATGACACTCATTACATCATTTTGGAGACTTCTGCTTTACCTCCATGTTTGATTTGAACTTACCCCAGTTATGGGTGAAAGTGAGAGGAAAGGCACTCCTTTAGCGTGCCTTGTAACCAATTCAACCACACTAATCTTAGGTCAAAATTTTATTCAGTCATAGTGCATGTTCATTAAATTCCCTTTCATTTTATGCAAGGAGGATGTCCATGACAGCAATAAAAAACCTTGCAACATTCAGCTTATGCAAGAATAAAGGCTTGCCACAGTTTAACCTAGCATACATCCACCCAATCCTATCTGACTGCATTAAACTGAAGAAACAGATTTCAGGTTTTCAACCAAATTCTACTAATAGATAATCTGATTTTTTTTTCTCTCTGAAAATTATTAGAATTAATTGAAAGGTTAAAGAGAGATTTTCTGAGAAACTGAAAATACTTCAATCAAACAGTGGAGTGTAGAGACCTGAACAGGACACACTCGTTTATCTCATTACTGTGACCTGGAAATTGGGCAAGGGAAACTCTGTGACCTACTTCTTTATACATCTTAAGCCCTGGGCAGTAATTGGGCAATCTCTTTGTGTGGCATTACTTCCTCTCATCAAAACTTAGTTTTGAGCTCAGGGACCTTCTGATCCATGTGGCTGCCCTCGCTTTCAGTCTGTCACCATAGAAATGGGCTGTTTATCATTCTTTCTCTTTGAGATAAACTGTAAATGTTTTTGCTACACTGGAGCCTATGTAGCTTCATAAATGCTGTGGGATTTGGGGCAGGTCCAGAAAGTCATCCACTGGCTGTGGATCTTGAGAACTGTAACTAAAACTGAGGCATGTACAAAAATGTGAGCAAGTAGTTGTTGGCAGCAGATGAGACTTCATCTTCCTCAGACCCATAACCTAGGAGGTCACTGCTATTGCTGTGCCTGAATTAGCAAAGACTGTGCATTGGTATCCCAGTACCAGCAGCACAAAGAGAAGGTCAGCAAAGTGGAGATACAGCACTGGACAACAATTTAGAACTGAGTGAAGCTTCTGATTACATTTACTGATGATGCTGTGCTGGTTACAGTCTGCATATTTTGGGCAGACATCATTTTCAAGGCTTTGATTAGGGGCCCTGTGAATGAGCAGCACCTTCCTATGGGGTTTTCAACACAGCATGAGACTTTACGGATTAAAACCAGCATGCATTATACATGACATCTGTGTGCACTGCTCCTTAAATGCAAGCTATGCAGAGAAACCAGAAAGCCAGCAGCTTTCCAGTAGAAATTTGTGTTTTCTGGTCCCCTGTTCCCTTCCACTTTTAATATTGCTGTCTACCAATATGTTGGCTTAGGTCGCCTTGTCACAACAAAGAAAGTGAGGCTGTGTCATAGCCGAGCTTCAGAGCTAATTAGCACTGGGAAGCCATGGGAGTTTCTGAGAAGCAGAGCTCTGATGTAACACAACTCCATCCACTAGGAAGCTTTCAGTTGCTCCAGCCATACATAATTTATTTTTGTCAGTCACATGGTAGTCAAGCTCATTTTGCATAATGGATACATGCAATGGAAAAGTGCTTAGAGGGTTTCAGTGGAGGAGACAGCCTTTTCATCTATCTGTATCAAAGAGAAATTAAACAATTACGGCAGTTCATGGCATCCTAGTGTAAAACTCTAAAAAAAAATGTGTTTCAAATGTGTGCAAACCTATTAAAACAGTGCTTATGTTATTCAAATATGCTGCTGTGTAATTGTTCATTTATACCTCTCTCCAACATCTCCTTACCTTCTGATTTACATGCAATTCACTTCTTACCTGTAATTCCTATAAAAACCCTGTGTAGTGATACACAGGACAGGTACTGAGCAGCTTCTGATGGCTGGGGGCAAATCCAAGGTACAGGATCATGGTCATTTGTCTTAGTTTCAGCTGGGATGGAATTGTTTCCTTCAAAGTGTCTGGTATGATGCTATGTTTTGGTTCTAGGAGAAAAACAGTTTTGTCAACACACTGATGTTTGTAATAGCTTCCACGTTGTTTTGTACAGAGCTGTTTGCAGGGAAGGGCCCAGGGAGCTGAGAGGAAACAGAATAAGGACAGCTGACTTAAACTGAACGAAAGGATATTCCATACCATATGGCATCATGAAGAAGGAGTTTTGAGGTGGGTAGGAATTCATCTTGCTCTCTTCTTCTGCTCAGGGAGCCTTAAAGACCATCTAGTCCAACTCCCCTGCCATGAACAGGGACACCTACAGCTATACCAGGTTGCTCAGAGCCCCGTTCAGCCCAACCCTGGATGTCTCCAGAGATGCGGCGTCCACCACCTCTCTGAGCAGCCTTTGCCAGTGCCTCACTGCCCTTATCATCAAAAACTTCTACCTTATATCCAGTCTAAATCTCCCCTCTTTCAGTTAAATTAGATAAATAAAACAGTGAGTAATACAGTGCGTCAGATTGGTGGACAAGCAGGACAAGGGGAAATGGTTTTAAGCTGAGGGAAGGGAGATTTAGGTTGGACGTCAGGGGGAAGTTCTTTACAGAGAGAGTGGTGAGGTACTGGAACAGGCTGCCCAGAGAGGTTGTGGATGCCCCATCCCTGGAGGTGTTCAAGGCCAGATTGGATGGGGCCCTGGGCAGTCTGGTCTAGCATTAGGTGGGAAGGTTGGTGGCCCTGCATGTGGCAGGGGGGTTGGAGATTCATGATCCTTGAGGTCCCTTCCAACCCTGGCAATTCTGTGATTCTGTGATTCTGTGGTGGAGCCTGCACTCGAGGCAAGGGGTTCACACTGCCCGGCTCCCGGCACGGCCCTGCCCGGTACCCGATACCCGGTACCCGGTACCCGGTACCCGATGCCCGGTACCCGGTGCTCGGCCGCCGCCGCCCCGCGCTCGTGTAGCGGCTTCGAAAGGCAGCGCGGCTCGCGAGCACCCGCTAGCCGGTAAGGAACGGCTCGGCGCGGAGCGGCTCGGTTCGGCACTGCCGGCCCGGGATGGCGGAGGGCAGCCCCACCTCCCTCCTGCACCTCTCCATCACTCGCTGGTAAGTGCTGCTCCTTCCCACAGCTCAACCCAAGGTGGTGGGGCGGCGGGGGCCGGTCAGGAGAGCGGTGGGACGCGGCTGAAGCCGGGCTGAAGGGCAGTCCCCGTCCCCTTCCACCGGAGGCTGCAGGAGGTTGGGAGTAGAAGACTCTGGGTCTGGACACAATTTGGGAAGACAGAAGTTTTGCTGAATGCAAAGGCTCCATCGTGGTGGTGGTGCATGAAACACCCGATGTTGATTAAAATGGGTAAAGTTCCCTGAAAGTCTGTCTTCTGACATAGTTTGTACTGACGTAGAGGCGCCTTGAGGCTGCAGGACCACCCCAATCGGAGCTGGTTGCCGTGACAGCCTGGCATACAGCTATGCTGAACCACTGACACTCCCTGAGGTCACATTTTCTTGGGATGAAGGCAGTGGTTGGGCCCTTCTTCAACAAGGTGCTCTGTGGGGTGGAGTAAGATAGTCACCACCACTTTTACGGGGCTTTGAGAAGCAGAATCACCTGCCAGGTGACAGGGAAAGGAAAACCAGAGCTGCTTTCTTCTTACCCCAAATGTGGCTGGTTCCAGCTAGTGAGCCATGCTGAAACTTCAATATACTTTTTGAAACTCTAGATCTACTATTTCCATTTCAGAAGAACTAAAGAAAGGGAGTTGTGGAGGTCATCCCATAACTCTGAGACACTGCATAAAACTGAATCGTAAACAAGCCTTGAAAAGACCAACTGCTGTTTCTTTCATCACAATAAGCTTCTGAATCACCTTTCTGTGTTTTGAGGGTTTTTTGAGTGTTTAGCTCCATTGTATGGCTGGTGTATTGACAATAGCAAGGCAGACTTAGCTTCAGAAGTGGTTTAATAGCAGACCCATATGATATCCCAGCTATCAAAGCTTCACAGCAGACCCCAGAAAACCTGAAGAATGGATCACACAGTGATCCCAGTGGACAATGTGGATAGGAAGATGTGGTAGAACAGAGGAAATATTTCCCCAGGTGTTGTGTTTTTGTTTTTAACCTTCCCTTACCATTCCCTTTTGCTCTTATTGGTTTTGCTATCAGTTTTGCTTTGATGCATGCACATGTTTGGTTTGCCATTTAAAAAAGGCTCACGGTTTAATGAATGATAAATTCGTGGAGGAAGATTTCCAAATATTTTGTCAACAAATGGTTAAATGCTGAGATAAAACTATTGGCAGAAATCAGTTACAGAAGCACAGATTAATTCCTTCTGCACTTCCAGTGACTTTTGCGGTGAGATATTAAGGATGAATTTGGACTTAGGTTTAATCTCCTCTGGGACTGCCTGATTACGAAGAGTTTTGAGACAGCTGCCTTAGAAGAACCGTGTGCTGCTCTCTGCTGGGATGCAGAGCCAGGGCTCTGTTCTAGGATAAATCTCATTGATTTTTAGCCCCATGGTGTGAAATCTCCCATTGGATCTCTCAATCCTGGAGATGGGAAAGAAGCAAGAGCTGAACAGACAACATGGGGCCATGGCGTGGTGATGCCAAATGGCATCTTACAGCATATCACTTTGCTGCGGAGCTTACCTATTATCTGCTACCAGTGAAGGTAGTGCTTTAGACAAACACTGGGTAGCCTGAAATCAGGATATTAAGAATGTACTGAGTTAAAGTCTGACCTGCTTATCTCACCTGATGGATATGAAAAGTCTGTGTTCTGAACCAACCTAATTATTGACACAGACACAGTGAGGCACTGTGCTGTACCAGCGTTCATCTGATGAAATAATAAAATATGCATAAATCATTGGTTAGAGCAGGAGTGGAGTCACAGTAAGACAACACTGTCACACGAGCAGTGTGTCATGCTCTAAAAATTAGTCCCCTCTGCTTCTTTGCTCCTGTATTTGTACTGCAGGGAGCTATTATCCTCTGACATCGAAGACATTGCCACTATCTCATACCTAAAGGTCTTTATTCTGGTGAAGTTAATAACTTGGGCTAAAAAGAAACTAAGTTCAGTTCTTCCTTGGAAGGAGCAGTGATGCAGCGGCACAGGCTGCCCAGGGAGGTGGTGCAGTCACCGTCCCTTGAGGTGTTCCAGAACCGTGTGGATGTGGCACTGAGGGATGCAGTCAGTGGGCATGGTGAGGGTGGGCTGCTGGTTGGACTGGGTGATCTGAGAGGTCTTTTCCAACCTTAATGATTCTATGAATCTATGAGTCTTCATCCTGTTTAAGGAAATAGTTCCATTTATGTGATTATGACTGCTGTGACGTGTAGGATGGGCAAGGAGTTTAAACTAAGGATGAGTTTTGGTGCCATCAGTTCTGTTGCACTGTAACTGTAAATTAAAGTTTTCTGTTCTAAACTTGTGCTAAAAGCATTGAGATTGTATAAGAACAGAATTTGGACCTTTATAATTTGTGCAATCTCCACCCCAAACCATCATGTTGGATATTTTAGAAGAGAAAATGCTCTTATTGATGTTTTGGTAGAGTGGAGACCTTTAGAAGTAGGAGATAAAAGTTATGTCTTATTAAAGAGATGCTAATATCTTGCATAATGGTTTTAGTGTTAGGTAGTACCACTAAGTTGTATTTCTTTGTTAAAAACTATGAGATCCTGTTAATTTCTTAGCAGAGCCTCACACAATTTCTCTTACACTTTGGAAAAAAAGAAAGTTGAAGGTAAAAAGTTGAAAAACTTAGAATGTATACATGCCTATGAAGATTTTTTTTTTTAACTAGAATATGAATCAGCATAGAAGTTGATTTGACAGTCTTTACTTTGACTTTATGCTTCTATAAAATAGTAGTTACTATTACCTAGTCCACTGTACACTTGACAAGCTATTAAAATCGCAAGTTAACAATTCTTTTTTTTTCTAATTCTGACATAAACTGATAGCTTTTTTGTTTTGTTTTGTTTTAAAGGATAGCTGATAATTTCCATTTGTGTGAAGGATGTACCATACCCCGTTGGCTGCTATATGAAATGTATCTAGAAAACTTCAGTTCGAATGACAACGACAAAGTAAATTCAGCCACCTTTGGAAAGGTACAGAACAAAGAGGATTTGTAAGATTAGAAGCCGAGATCCAAACAGAAAATAAGATGTTTGCATTGAATATATGCATTGTGTACCAAGAAAAATTAAATAATAGAAAAGGATGCATACATAATATATTATTAATAGGGTAATTCAGCCTAAAAGCGTAGGAAAGACTGTGTTTGAAGGCTTCTATATTGTCCTTACTTCTTCTTTGGCCTATCTGGGAGTTGTATCCATGTTTTCTTTGGAGGGTGCACTGAGATTTGTTCTGATCAAAAAATGACAGCTATGTTCATGTCTTTGCTAATATACTTCTAGTAAGCTCTCATGTAGATACAGATATACTGGGGAAAAAAAAGCATTGTCTGTCATGGAATTCATTTTCTTCAGGGAAGATGTGCATGTTATACTGGCAAGAATCTCTGGGTTCCCCAGGTCAAAAAAGACAGGGTCTCCTGGAAGGAGTCTAGTGGAGAGCCACAAAGATGATGAAGGGCCTGGAGCATCTCCCAGATGAAAAAAGGCTGAGTAACCTGGGTTGGTTCTGCCTAGGGAAATGAAGACTGAGAAGGGATCTGATAAATGTTTATAAATATCTGAAGGGAGATGGGAGACAAATGAATGAAGCCAGGATCTTCTCAGTGGGGCAAGGACAAGCAGTAGTGACCTAGAACTCGAATGTAGGAAATTCAATGCTAACATGTGGAAGAACTTTCTTATGGTAAGGGTGACAGAGCACTGGAACAGGTTGCCCAGAGGTGTTGTGGAGTCTCCTTCTATGGAGATATTCAAGACCCATCTGGACACCTACCTGTGTGACCTATTATAGAGTATTTACTTTGGCAGGGCAGTTGGACTCGGTCTCTTGAGGTCCCTTCCAACTGCTGCGATTCTGTGATTTTGTGAACTTTTTTTAGAAGACTTTTCCAGGGTAAACAGTGCAAGGTTAAGAAACCAGTCCTGAGAAGCTGATTCTTCTGTCCTTAAAAGACCCATTTGGTCATTACATAATTTTAAACTTCCTTTTTTAAGTACACTTAGGGCGATTTTGCTCCAAACACACACTAAAAATTCTTCACTGAATCTTCCAAGCAAAACAAAAGCAGATGTAAAAAACAATCTCCTTTAAGAAGTTACACTCTTCCACTAAGTGGATGTTGATACAACCCACAAGGCAATTACCAGTTAGAAATCCCACACGCAACAAGTTGTCATAGCTATTTGACTTTATTTGACCAATTAAGGAAAACAGAATTGTGTGTGACTGATATTCATGATTTTGTGTTCAGAACTTCCTATTTTTACAGCTAATAGTTTTCCATTAGTGCCAGTGGTAGGAGCTGTTCTAGCATTTTTAAAGAAAAAATTCAAGAAAAAGTTGTGCCTGGAATCAATCTTGTGTGTGGATAAACTCATTTGAGGAATCATTTATCTCAATTCAGTTGAACCTGTTTCATTTTGTTTTGTTTTTACTGAGTGATGATCACTCTTAAGGTTTGAGTGACTGATCCCACATGATTGGTTTACCACGGTCTAATGGCTCATCACCCATCAGCCAACCATGGGTGGAACTGGTCTGGTTTGAAGCTCATCACCTTACCATCTCTTGATAGTTGATGGAGAGAAATAAGTAGTTTCATACAGTTCCTCACATTCTAAATGAGTCTTCTTGGTCAGTTCGGGTGACTCGTGCCTTGGAACTGCCTGTTTTTCTCCATTGACCATGGAGTCTGCCAACAGTATCTTACACAAGGAGCCACGTAGGTAAGATGAGTCCCACCTCAGCATGAGCTGTGGCTGTGCAGCAGGAGACTGAGGGGTAGGAGCTGCAGTTACATTGCTCTAAAATACAGGTGCACATGTAAGCAGTTACAAGAGGCCAGTAAATAATATGAGCTATTAATAATTTGTCAAGCTGTAGTAACTTGACCACACTGCATGTAAGGATTTTTGCAATCAAGCTTTGTGTGAATGAAACTGCAGTTATTTGAGACGGCACAAATTTAATCCGCCTGGTCCCTCTGCTCCAGTATGCCACTGTCTGTAGAAGAGGCCTCAGGTCACAGGACGGCTTTTTGGAACAAGGGGAGTATGTACCACGTTGAGAAAAGGAGCAGCTGAGGTGGGTGCACGCAAAGATGTGCAAAAAGCAGAACCATACCAGCACTGTTGTAAGCTGCAGGTGAGAGGATGCGATCTGTCCTTGTGCAGGCCCTTCAGCCAACAACACTCTGCACAAAGGCAGTGTTGGGCTGCAGTGAAGGACCGCCTGGCTCAGTGACAGCGTTGTGCCCTCATTCCTGTACAGCTCCAGCACCCCTTGTTAGGCTCTGCCTTCACAGGAGAGCTCATGCAGAATAATCGTGGTGAAGTGAGGTATTACCCTCACACTATCGTATTATTCTGTAGGGCTTAACCTTGGCAGATGCTGCCTGACCTCAGTTCATATTACCACAGGGGTGGCCTGGAGGTCGCTGTGCAGTGTGGGGATGCAGCCTCTCAGAAACATCAAGTCAGAGCCCAACTTGCAAGTGCTCCATGTACAAGTGAGAGGGTTGTGTGAGTGAACCCTGCTCAGTTGAGGAGGGCTGGACAGGGACGGAGGAACTCCAGGCCCTCCACAGGCCTCAGACAGATGCTTCTTGCAGATCAAGTTCCCCTGGCTGTGCTGCACTCAGCCAGCTGTGGGTGGTCTCCTGAGTGTGCTTCAGTGCAGGCAAACCAGGCTGATGTGAAACAAGTCTCACCTGAGGGAGGTAATCCATGAAATTACTCACATTTCTATCCACAAAAGCCTGATTGAGTTCAGTTCAGTAGTTACCATTTGAGAGGTATGTAGGGACAGGTATTAGCCAGCAAGTGATGGAAAGAAAAATAAGTGATCAAGGAGAGAAAAATGTAACGAGTACCCCTTTGTGTTTTTGAACTTGTCAAGAATCTCTAATTTTTTGCTTGTTTTTTAGCTTATCCGGTTAGTTTTCCCAGGTCTGGGAACAAGAAGGCTGGGCACAAGAGGCAGTGCCAGGTATTGTTTCTGAATCCTTTGTCTGCAAAACATTATGAATGATTGCTCTAGTAAAATTTAAAAAAAAAAAAAAAAAAAAGGCAGAATTCTCAGCTCCAGCTCCAATATATCTTCTGATCTCTTTCTCCATCTCCTTTCTTCTCCCTTCCTTCTCTCCCTCGAGCAGAAGCATGAGGATTGGGATAGATACACTTTCATTGATTCAGCATCCAAATACATATTCACACTCTGAACACCCAGACTGGGAGAAACAGTGCTATAAAGGGCACTGAAAAGCAGTCATTTTACAAGCATTTGGAGTAGCTGTAGAACACTGGCTTTGAATGACAGGCCCTTACTTGATCTGTGATTTTTCTCCACTGGCCTGGACTTGCCGTCAGCTTGATACAGCAGTTTGGAGTGCTTGGCCACAGATGCTTCCAGCATTGGTTGGGACCATGTGTGGTGCTCTGCATCCTTGTGCAGTTGTTTCCCACAAGCAGAAGCTCACCCTCTACTGGCTGCTGAAGGCCAAGAACCTCCCCATTCACCCTGTACCAGATACTGGTGTACTCTTCCAAGACCAGAGGAGAATGATAACACCAAGACAGGCATAAAGCAGTTCTTCTAGATTTCTTGGTTTTATCTTCCACCCATGGGCCACCCAGTCCCTTACCTATTGTAAACCACTGTGCTGCAAGTGCATACTGTCCTCCAGCTCAGTGGGGACGTGGGTACATTCACTTGCTGAGAGGTCTGTGACTTCTCTAATCATCCTGTGCAAAATTGTTGTACTGTATTTGCTGGCTTATGTTTGTTCACTTAAAAGAAGGTATCATCCAAAGGCAAAAAAAACAAAAAACAAAAAACAAAAAAAAACCAAACAACTAAGTAGAGCTTGTTAAGTAATTCTAGAAAAACTTGTGTAAATATTTTGTGCCAGGGAAATAAATTTCCAACAGAGTTTATAAAGTAAATGTAACATTTTTGTTTTCACTTTGTCTTTTCTAGGCTGAACATGCTTTCAGTAGAGGAATATTAATTCTTTGCTAACTATCTTGAAAATCACGTGCTTGTCAGTTCATCCATTTTTTTTTTTAATTATTTTCTAGATATCATTATGATGGAATAGCTATCAAGAAGGACTCTTCCTTTTATGGACATTATTGCTTTCTTCTGTCTCAAAAAAATTATCGCAGGTTTGTTTTCTAAATATTTCAATCATGAAATGTCACATGATAATCTAGATATTGTCTGTATATAGAAGTCTGTTATTTCTCTTTGCTGAACATTGTCAACAGTATGAGTATTTTCTTCCTCTATACACACTATAAAAGTGCTGTGACATTAAGCAATACCTCTAACAAGAAAATCCAATTTGGAAAAAGTGCTCTGTGTAATCAGATTTCCCTGAATGGGAGTGTAGAAAGGTAGATCATGCCAACCCTAAAGGAAGAACGTAACACGTTGAGGCTCTAAATGGAAGCTCAGATTAATGACAATTGCTTCTTGACACTGTAGCACTTCTGTTGGTTAACAGTAGGCTGAAGAGATACGTATTCCAATATAAATGACAGCGCTCTTTTGACAAGTTCTATACACAACGGTGTTATCTAGTTTTTACTAAAAGATCAGGCATGCTACTTTGAAAATATTGCCTCTGTTTTATTTTAAAATGTCAAGTTTTAAAGTAACCTCTTGTAAGGGAACAGCACTAAGATGATATATAAGACAGGAGTAGAAATTGTCTGCAAAAACAGAAAAACAATCTAAGAAAGTGATGAATGTAAGGTAGTGTAGAAGCTCAGTGTAGACTTTATCTCAACCCAATTGTAGGCAGGATGAGGAAGGTCATCGTTAAGGTCATGGTTGAGGTAAATGAGCTTCAGACTCGCATTTCTCCCAAGGAAAAGGGAAAAAACGAAATGTGTGTACAAATGAATTCTGTACTTTGGTTTCCATTCTTTTAAATGGGGATATAATAGCTCTCTATGACACAAATGTTCTAGGGATACAAGACAGACTATTAAGCACTCAGATATTCTGGTGATGATGAAAGCTGTTTCACTGTCTGTGGTATTTTATTGTATAGTTAATTGAATACACACTGCAAGAGAATGGAAAAATTATACCCGCGGGTTTGCTTCCTGTCTTTGCTGGTTTGATGGCAGAGCTAAGCTGCAGCACCCCAGGCAGCCACAGCAGAGCAAGGATAAAGAGTGGAGCAGGGCAAAGGCTCAGGTTCTGCACACAATCAAGTGGCAATCAGTTGCTTTGAGACCAAACAAATTATTCATAAGAAACACGAGGCTCATTTCACATGAGAACCTCGCTGAAGTGATATCCCCAGCTACCAACGCACACTGTATTAAATATATATACATTCAGATAAACATCAGCTTTCTGGCTGCAATACTCTTAAGTAAGTCTCTTAACTATGAAATTATTTTGTCTGACACTTCCTTCACTGAAGCTGTTGTGTGAAGCCAAAGAGCTGCATTTAGAGCATCTTGCACTCAAAACCCAGCCACGTGCCCCCATCTAGAGCCAACATGTGCACCAGCAGCACCCGGGTGTCACTGCTGCTTCTTGGTGCCTGTTAAAGGGCAGCAGAAGAAAACAGAGAGAAGGCAGTAAAAAACAAACAAATTAAATATGCAGCCAGGGACACTTGGTTATCATAACCCTCCTCCCACAAAATAACTAAGGAAATAAATTAGGCCACATACAACTTAAGCAGCAGCCTCAGTGAAATAAGTCAATTTCCATCTGTTCTTACAGTTATGTACATGCTTTACAAATGCACAGGAACACAGTAAGCAAATATCTCATCTTTACTGCCTTCTTTTTAGGGCTCAGTACTTTTAGAAATCAGAATTAATTTTTGTTATCCAGTAAAATCACTACTGAACAAACAAACAAACAAAAAAGCCATCCCTGGAATAATTTTTTTAAAGTAGAGAAATGAAAGTTGGACAAAAAAGTAATAAAAAATTGAGTATTTTTCTATCCGCAAAGACAAACGTTGTTCTTGTAGAGTTAAATTGATGGCTGCAGCAGACGGTATTTGACCCATGATACAACAGTCTGGAAGAGTGTGCTGGTGTGAAAACTTCCAGATAATAGTGAAGGAGATTATTAATATACATTTACAGTGCAGTCCAAACACTTGTCTTCAAATCAGATCCAATGAATAGTCACGATCTCACTGGCTTGATGCCATATCCCCATGGCAGAGACAGGGATGTGTGCCTGAGCAGTCAGCATGTCCCAAATGCCTACTGCATCCTCCCACACCTGGATCGAGTCTGACACGCAGGTGCTTCTTCTGGAGCTTCTACCTGAGGGGAAAGTGGAGATGAGAGCCCAGCTGAGAGGTGAACGCATCCACCCAAACACCCTCCAGGCTGTTAAAGAATTGACTGGTGTCAGCACTACAATCCACTGTCTCTAATTACTGAAAACAGTATTTCTTGACCATTTTGAGGTCATCAGCACTTGACATGGAGTTGTAGTAAGGAACTGGGCCTGTGAAGGGTCTGGCACATTGGGAGCTTTGCTTGTTGGTGTCATAGAAATGGCCATAAGATTATAATGGTTGCATTTCACTGCAAAGAAGGCATTTGCCTCTTGGTAGTCAACCAGGCCTTGGATGTGTCAAGTTGCTGGGATGGAACGAGTTCACACTAGGAGTGATGAGGATTCTCTTACAAAGCACCTGTGAGCTGGTCTGTTTCGAATTGTTGAGTTTTTCTGAAGATACATATTCTGTTGTACTAATGATGATGTGAAAGTGGTACAAACAAGCAGAGCTGTGACCAAACGGGTCTCCAAAGGTATTATGGAGATTTAAGAGGGTGTGGGATGATTTGAAGTACACTACAGTAACATTTAGGAATGGGAGTTTTGAGGATGAAGTCTCCCTACAATGGCAGATGCTCTGGTAGGTCAAAGTGGCTTGGAGTATGTCGGTGCTAAAATAATGCCAGTGAGTTTTGGCTTTGTAAGAGTAGAATCATATCATAAAATCACCAAGGTTGGAAAAGACTTCTAAGTAAGAGTTACTTCATAATCTAGTAACAGGGAAGGCTTGGGTCTCTGACTTTCTAGTGACACAAACCTGTAATTTTTCAGTTACAAATTCTAGTGTGTTTCTAGGATATTATCTTTGCTGATCTCAGTGTAATCTGTTGATCCCATTCACCTTTCTCTCTTTGTTCGTTTTCCCTTCTTCCTTCCCATTCACCTCAGTCTTTCTGCCATCCCTACAATCAGACCTCCCCTATCAGCTCTCGTTCCCCCTCCCCAGCCTCATGGTAAGCAGAGCTGAGCTCATTGCCCTCACCTCCCACCCATCTTCCATTCTCTGTGCTCTGTCTTTGCCCAGGCAGTGCTCTCCAGGGAAGAGTGTTTCAACGTGGCAGCCAAGCACCCCTACGGGAACCGGGTGAGTCTGAACTTCATTTGCTAATGATGCTTGCCTCAGCTGGCAAAGGTGAGGTAGGGACAGGTGGAGGGGTAGTGAGAAGGAAGGCTTCAGCCTGCCACCCAGCACCGGGCAAACGGACTAGGCAGCCCGCTGAAGAAGAGGTGAGGTGCTGAGGTGTGTTGCCATAGCAGCAGCAGCAGAATGCAGCTGGCTGCCTGCTTGGGAAGAGCAGGAGCTGGAAAATGTTAGTTAATTGTATTTCACAGGCTTTAGGAACCTGCAAGAATGAGACGTTTGACAGCAGTGCATCTGTATGGACCCTTTCTTTTGTTTGTGGGGACCAAACAAATGCAGTATTAATGTTGTGCCAGGCCTTTGGTGGGTGGAGTCCTTTGGCTTCCAGCACCAAAGTGGTGGTGAAGGGAAAGGGAGGTGCTGTGTGTACCAGCCACCAACAAGGACTGCATATTTTGTGCAAAACACTGGCTGCCACCTTCCAAATAACAGAGTCCCTGGGAGCTTGAAATGACTTCACAGACAGGGAGCACATACCAGCAGCAGATGTGGGGCTGGCTGGAGCATGTCCCGTGTCACAGAATCACAGTATTGCAGGGTTTGGAAGGGACCTCTGGGTATCACCTAGTCCATGCCGCTGCTAAAGCAGGTTCCCTACAGCAGGTTGCACAGAAAAGAGTCCATGCATGTTCTGAATATCTTCAGAGAAGAAGACTGCACAACTTCTCTGGGCAGCTGCTCTGTCACCCTGTGCTCTGTCACCCTCACAGTAAAGCTTTTCCTTGTGTTCAGATGGAACTTCCCCTGTTGCACTTTGCACCCATTGCCCCATGCCCTGTCACTGGGCACTGCCATCCACTTGGCACCCGCCCATAAGATATCTATAAGATATGATAAGATCCCCTCTCAGCCTTCTCTTTTCCAAGCTGAACAGCTCCAGATCACTCATTCTTTCCTCAATACAGGAGATGCTCCAGGTCCCTCATCTTCTTTGTAGCTTTCCATTGGACTCTCTACATTAGTTTTCTGTCTTTAATGAACTGGGGAGTCCAGAACTGGACACAATACTCCAGATGCTATCTCCCTTGTAGGCCTTTCCTCTGACTCTTATGAAGAGAACCCATCCTTCCATTGCCATTACCCAGCTCCATGCAGTTCAGACCTTTCCTAATGTCCAGGGTTACACCTCCTCTCCTTCCCTGCCCATCCCTCCTGAAGAGCCTGTAGCCATTCATCTCAGCATTCCAGACTAGTGAGCCATCCCACCACATCTTATGGAGGCCCAGAATATTCTGGCCCTGAGGCTGGACTAAAACTTCCAGTTCACCTTCCTTATTTCCTGTGTTCCACGCATTTGTGTTGAGGAACTGAAGATGGGCCAGAAAATGGCTTACTGGCTGGTGTTCCTTTGTGCTGCTTTTCAAGTGCTCACCTACAGATCTCTGTTCTTGTTGTTGTCTCTGGACAGCCACTGCTGATACTGCCTTCACCGTTCCCCTTCCCCAGCAGCTTTAGGCTTGGCAAGCCTGTAGCCAAAGTTGTTCTTCCCTTCCTTTGCCAGATGAACCACATCAGTTCACAACAGACAAGGTTTCTCAGATAGACTGCCACTGCCTTTCTCTCCTGCAGGATTCACTTCATCAACTCAGGCGTAGGAGGAGGGAGGAGATGACAAAGCAAGAAAGCAGCCTACTGCTGCCCAGCTCATGGTTTTTCCAGCCAAAAGCTGATTGTTGAGCTTTTGCAGGCTCATGAGAATATTGAGAGTGTGGAGCATCAAGGAAGACTTTCAAAGTAGGCAGGGGGCAGCCAGGAAAAAGTTGCTGTCTCCATTAATAAAGGGAACAGAAATTGGGGTTACTGTGCAATCAAAGCTCAAGGACGATTACGATTTCATTATTTTTGTGTCTATGATTTTTATTTTCATTCTAAATGAACTGCCACTGCAAGTTCAAAATCATGAATTTGGATACAAGAAGTTGGAAGAGATTGTGCTGCTAAATGGCTAATATCTTGCTGTCTGCAGTAAGTGGCTCAATTTTAGCTTGAAATTAGTCTCCAGATTCATTAGAAAATCCTGGGACCACTGAATGATGGGAAAGGGAGGGATTTTGTTTCCTAAACACACTACTGTCTACTTCAGCCTAGCACTCTATCCACTTTGAGATTGTTTTCTCACTAAACACTGTATGAATTGGTGGTTTTTTTTAAAGGGCTTTATGTTCTTTATTTTACCACAGTGCAGACACCTGCAGTTCTGGAGACCCAGCTGGTTATGAGAGCAATAGCAAAAAAAAAGGAACAGTGAGTTTCAGATAGATTAGTCTTATAACAAAATGCTTCTCCGTGTGCTTAATTAGAAAGGCTATATAATATTGTAATGAAATACAATTAACCCATCACACTCCCTGAAATAACCTTTGTCTGTAGAACCTCACTAAATGCTTACTCCCCCTACTCCTTACGTAGCTAAGTATTTTTGTTATCTAAATGTCAGCTCAAACAATCTTCACTATGCCGAGTGTTGAAATTGTGGCTGACAGCCCAGGTTCCCAACACTGGAGGAGTTAGTTGGGCACAGCCTTCCTTGTCTGAAGCCCATCACTGCAGGCTCTCATGCTGTCGAGCCAGTGCCCTTTCAACTCAGTGGGACTATATTGGCATGGGAAGTCTTTAAAACACTGTAAACTGATCAAGAAAAGAGAATGGCAGCCCTGCTCGCCAAGGAGGCTGATGTTAGGCTAACTGGTGTCAGCTCAAATGCACTAGGGAATTGGCCTGAAGCTGGAGAGGCTGGAAGCCAACCCACAGAGCGTGAGCAGCAGGATTATGGGGATCACAGCGAGGGAAAAGGAGAGACTGTGTGTCCTCCTTGTTTTTTTTCATGGTGCTCAGAGAGCGTGTAACAACAGCTGAAGAAAACTGCTGTCACCTTTACAGCAGAGCCAACAATCTCAAGCCTTATTTAGAAGATTGCAACTGTGAAAATGAGTGCTATAGAAAATATATGCATAAGATATACGTAGTGTGAAAAATTCACTTGGTTTGAAAATAAATTATTGTACTGTTTGGAATTTGAACTTTTAGTCAACCATGCTTGCTTCTTTCACCCACCTCTATTTTTTTCAACAAAAAGAACAAGCATTTCTGTGAATAATTACATCTTAATAAAAAATAGCAATATACAACTTCAGGAAAGTACTTAGTAACTTTAGCAGAAGTGACAAGATAATTGTGTACTTTTTTTTTTTTTAATTCTTTAAAATACATTCTGATGCTTTGGAGCAAGGATTTGCACTGTTTTCCGTCGGTCACTTATCTGAAAACTGAAGAAGACAGACTTGCATATGTTTTGCCTGAATTTGGACTAGCCTGCCCTTGGGAGCAAGAATTACTGAACAAATACCCCTATGAGATGGTATGTTTAAGTATCCAGTAATCAAGCAATTTAGCTCTTTGACTATATGATCTTTTTTACACTCTTTTTCTCACTTTGTCCAGGTCATACAGGTCGCAAATGAGTACAATAGCCACTGCCAAGACATTTTAGAGGTTGTGAAAATGCAAGAGCTTGACAAGGTATGCCTTTGCTTCAGTAACTTCCCTTGCATGATGGCAAACAAATATGATAATGAAATTGTTTCTTTGTAGCTTATTTAGTTGATGGTTTTATCTAAAGAAGACGTTCATTTATGGACAAAAAGAGCACTCATTCAAGATATACTGGAATTCTTAATGTGACCATCTCTTAGAATGTGATGTTGTGGGCACAAAACACAAGGCCATGGATATAGATCTCCCATTATATCCACATATCCACAGCACATCTCTTTGTCTTCCTGCTCTTTGTTATGCATCACTCCTGGATGCTCCCACCAGTATCTGAGCCTGGCTCAAGGCAGGTGGGGAGCCAAGGTCTGTATTCATCCTCCTGCTTCTGTGCTAATGTGTGTGTCCTTTCACTGAGTCACACTTCACATGTCACTAGTGTAAAATTGGTGAAAATTCATGAAGGACTTTGTGCAATAGGTGGAAGATTGCATCACGTCATTTTGGAAGTCTCTACAGCCTGAAAAAATAGCATTTATATCCTTGCCAGATATATGCCAGCTGTTCAAGTACTATGACAGATATCTATTCAAGGTACTGTATACATGTTTGTTGTAATTACTTTATGATTTTTGTCTTTTTGGTAGTTCTACCTAGAGAGAAAGACCAGCTGTTTATTGTGTACTGTACAATGAGATTTTATTTTCAGGGTATATGTATATATAAATTTTGAGCCAGCGAGTTTGGATTTTGAAAGGAGACAGTGGAATTTGAGACTACAGCCATTTGATGCTATATCTTCAGTTCACAGAATCACAGAATATGTGAAGTTGAAAGGGATCCATAAGGATCATCAAGTCCAATTCCTGGCTCTGCATACAACCACAGTCAGAAGTTCTTAACACCAATGGAGGATGATGTTATAAATGTTATCTGGGGGTCTGGAATGAGGATATGCATCTGAAATTTGGTCTGATAGCTGGATTCTAAACTACATGAGGGTTATTTTTCCTTTGATAACTTTACTATATTTCTCAGTGACATTCCATGCAGACGTACACAGTTTTCTGCTCAGAATAATTTACTTCTTATTTACAGCAGATCATCAAGCAGCATCTAGTAATTAATTCTGGAGGCACTGCTTGCTTCTAGGACCTTTTTCCTTCTGCTAATAAATATAGTTTAATTATTGCCTTATGAGGAGGAAAACAATGGGCTTCTTTCGTGACATAAATTGTAATCACAGCTAAAACATGTTTCATGCTGCTGTAAACATCTCTAGTGCAGTGGCCATGCAACTCCATATATTTACATTGTAGGAAATGGATAATATTCTCCTTGGTGACTTCCTGGAGGAGGTGTCTGTCCACTATCTGAAGTCAATCAGAATGTTCAGTAAAAACGTTAAACTCTGGTTGCTTAATGCTTTGGAAGAGCTTCCAATGCCACTCCAAACATCCAAATGTAAAGGTGAGTATGAGGAACAGAGTGATTTTCATAAAATAATGTTTGCTTCAACTGCAGAAAAGATTGGGTTACAAGACTCTTAAATTATTTTTAAAACATTTTAGCTGATGACCTTGATAGTAGGAGGGACTAGCGTTAGTTGGTATTCAGTTAAAAATAAATGGTCTCAATTGGTGTGAAGACAAATTTAAGCCCAAATCATTCCAAGTTCCTGCTTAATTAAAGTGTACTTGAATCTTTTTAAAGACCTGTCTTTTGTCATGTTCACTTCGGCTGTGTTGATGACTCTGAAAAATAAGCACCCTGCTCTCCGAAATGTAGGTATTGTTCTGTCTCTTTTCCTTGCAAGTGGTTTTATGCAGATAAATTAATTAATGACCATAGGACAGTTCAATATAAAGTAGAAAAAAAAAGCCAAAGGCCTATAGGGAAAATGTGACTCTGTCATTAGAACAGGATTTTAAAATCTTGTAATATACAAAGGTGTGTGATCCTAAGTATGTACATACGTACATACTTTGATGTATGTATGCAAATATGTTCATATATACAAAATGTTCAAGGTTGTGTTGGGTGAGGCGTTGGGCAACTTGATCTAGTAGAAGGGGTCACTGCCCACAGCAATGGGACTAGTTGATCTTTAAGGTCCTTTCCAACCCAAGCCATTCCATGATTCTACAGTTTATTTATTACATAGAATCATAAAATGGTTTGGGTTGGAAGGAACTTTTAAGATCACCTAGCTGAAGATGTTTTTAAGATCCAGCTAAAGCAAAATGCTGCTCAGTTTCTCCGTGAATGAAAATCATCTCTACAGTGAGAAAGTTGGGATCCTACATGGATACAGGACTGCTTGCACACGTGCTCAAGGATGGCTTACAGTCAGTCTCAAATCTGGCAGTCCTTACGTTCAAACAATTGACAGAGCAAATTTAGTAATTTGCTTTTAACACATTTGTGTGTATGAAAGTATAAGTAATTAATCAACTATAATGCTTTCTATGCATATTCTGGGCTTTGGGGATTGTACAAACTTTAGAGAAACAGAATTCACTTGAAAACCATTGCCTGTCTGCAGATTTAAGTTGCTTTATACTTGATTTTCCTGCAACTAAGGATCAGTTACTTATATTTTATTCTTAAAAAAGATATTCTTGGATCACAGTGTTAGTAATTTTAACACGTTATAGACAGGATCAAACAGAGCAACAGAAATCAACTTTTATTAACAGTGCTGAAGAATTATAGATACATAAGGGTGAAAATGCAAACTCTAATCAAAACAGAAAATTTAGAATTCACAGTGCCATCAGTCATGATGGCATCTGAAACCATACTCATAAAAGAATGTTGCTTGAGAAATATTTCAAGGAAAAAAATATTGGAAGAAATTTTCCTCTGCATCATGCATTAACATATTTCTAGTGAAGGAAGAGCAGTAATCTGGGCTGCTTGCAAGCTTTAAATCTGTGGGGTGCCCAGCATAGATAGCAGCTCAGCTATCTCCCTGTGCTCTGAGTTAGCCTGTTGCTCCCACAGGGATCTGCTTTACAATTTAAAGAGATCTGTCTTCATTAATGTCTTTAAGAATGTTAAAGATTAACGATATGAAACACCTGCCTCTTCTTCTTTAACAGAAGTTACAGTATTTATAAAAAGACTCAGGAGAAAGACAGATCTTTCTAATATGGCCAAGGTATGTTCCAGAATCCATGAAACAAAAAAGCTGAGCATCTCATTCACTCAAGAAGTCCGTATGGAGTAAGGATCATTTATGAGATGCTTCCCTCTACACACATGTAGTAGAACAACAGCAGCACAGGTGTTATTATCTGTATACTAACCATGGTCCTAACCATGCTCACCCTCCTACTTATTTCTGCCCACAGTAAGTATGCTGGGGGGCCCATTGGGTTCTGAGAGCCTCCGAGATGTGGTTAATGGTTGCTATCCTGTAGTTACTCCGTGCTGCATTATTATGATGGGCTGCGCCCTTCCTGTAGCTTTACTTCCATTGCTGTCCTTAAACACTTGCAAAATCACAGCAAAAGCAGTACCAGATACTCCCAGTATGCCCATCTGGCTTAAATGACTTCATTTTGACCTCACAGCAAAGGAATAAAAGAAGGGAACTATGGTTCCTTGGGTTACACAGCAGTATCACATCCTTCCTTAATAAATGCAATTTTCCTTTATGGGAAAGCTTCATCACAACCAACAACATATAAAATTTAAACCTCACACTTCGAAAAAAAAGTAGTTTGGGGGGCATTTTTTTAATTTAAAAAAATGCATAAACATGCGTATATGTCCTAACACGGACAAAGGGTCTACTTCTATCAAGTGCCACGGACTTGTAGTTGCCATTTCCTGCAGCAGCACGTTGGAGATGCTGAACACTAGAAAAAACTCAGCTTCATAACACTGTATGCTTCTTAACAGTGCTTCTTACCCATCAAACCACTCAATCCCACAAGACTGCACGTGCCAGCTATTCCCAGTCATTTGGACCTGATTGCTGTATTTAGACTTTATGCTGTTGTGCTTGGGCTTGAGGCACGACATCAAGGTGCTGGTTGCAGCTTTTTGATTCTTCCCTGCACATTCCTAATGCATGGAAGAGCTGTGAAGACTCAACATTTAATTTGCACCCTTGAGATTTAGAGAAAAAGAGCTTTAACCTAGCTGGAGGGAATTCTCCAGCAGCAGCCTCTAAGTACTTTACATTGACTGCACACTGTTTAACCTGTTCACAAAGTGAACATTCTAGACCTGAGAACCTGGGCCAGGTCTGTACTTACAGTAGAGCACACTCTGAGCCTGGTTCCTCTTCATGCTAACTGGCACTTTTTGCACAGGCAAATGACATTTGCACCTTTCTCTTTAAAATACAAACGAAGGGCAAGGGAGCTCCAGAGTAACTGATGATCAGTCCCATTAGTCCCAGTTTAAAAACAACAGCTTCAACGAGTGAAAAAATGTGAGCCTTGTAAATCAACATCCCCATAGTCTTTCAGCAGCTGTAGCCTCAGCTATAACTTCTGACATTACCCAAGGCATTTATACCGGGTTCCGGAGAGCAGAGTAGAAAACGAGTCAGATGAAGATTATATTGCAAAATTACCCTATCCATCTCATGCATACCAGAAGATGGCTAGCTGGACAACACGAGTATTTAAAATGTTCATCATGTGAGAAACAAACAGATGCTTCATGGTGAGGTGAATGTCACTCAGGGAAAACCAATTGGTGTTTTAGTTGGTCAGACCAGCCCCTAGGCTTGTGTGTGCTTTACTATTTCCCCTGGCTGTCCTCATCAGATACTCAGGTAAAGTAGGCATGCGTAGAGCAAGTGATGCCCTACTCCTGAGACACATCTAGCCATCTGAGATGAAGGTTGTATCCCCACCCATTTATTTAATAGCCTGGTTTTGGCGTTCACAACATCTTGGGGTAGTGAGCCCCAGGATTTGATTATTTCTTGCGTGAAAAAGTACTTTCTTTTATTAGTTATAAAATTTGTGCCCTTTTTCATGCAGTTCTTCCTGCAGACCTCTGTCACATTCTTTCTCAGTTATTTCTGTCTCATCCTGAGGTTTAATTCTCTCATATGGGAGTCATTTGGTATTTCTAATCGTCCTTCAAGGTTTTCTCTCTCTGAAAAGCACATTGAATTTCAACCAGAGACAGGTGGTCAAAGCAGGTGACAGTGCTCCTAATGAGAACTGTTATTGAGGGACTGTGCAGCTGCAGCTTCTGAATGGTGTAAACACACTGTGCCTTGTAGAGCACTTTGCAATAATTTAGCCACCTGGTGAGAAAATCTGAACAATTTTGGCAGGGTCAGCATTCAGAAGAAAAAGTAACTTTCCCATCATGTGTAGATAAAGCAGGCTGATATTTGCTACTACCTGGATGTACGGAAGTAATTAGAGTATAAGAAAGTGCAAATTCCCTGTGAGAAAGGAATGTGAATATAATGCTTGTCATTTCCAAGGGCTGATTCCTGCCTTTGATAAGCTGTATTTAAGTGTTGTCAGGGGCAGCTCTTAGTAATTCAGAGTACTATGGCCTGTGAAGTGTAATGGGTGAAGAAAGAGAGTGGCCTAATGTACTGGAATATGGAGCTGTGTTCCCAGTGTTCTCATTGTGTGCTCTTGCTGCAACCAGCAGCTCTTCTTCCAATGCTGGAAACTCCATGTAAAGCAAGAAAAGAAGCTTTGTCTTTAACTTGATTGAAAAAGATTACTGAGAGTCAGGCAGATTGTGATATTTGAGTAATGCTAACAGAATAGTGGAAAACCGAAGTGCTAGACTGGGAGTTATAGTTGCAAGTAAGTGTGGCGTGATAGAAAGCAGTGATCTCTACCATGCACCCGATGAATGGCATTTGTTCAAATGTTCATGGCTCCTGAAGTTTTCTCTGAAGTTGACAAGAAAATATTTTTCCTCTAGTAGGCCGAACTTAGCACATGGGTTACACATATAAAAGCCCAAATTCAGCAGAGCCTTTAGGATCTCCCACATTTCAGTATGAAAGTGAGAGACTAAATGTATGGATGGATGCATTTTAACAGACTCAGATTTAATTCCTTTCATTATTTTCCATTTAAAACATGTCAGTCAGGTTATTAGTAATTGATTAAAGCAAAAGAAAAAAAGAAGGAAGAGATGAGGATAAAAATTTAGGCTGAAAATCCTCTGCAATATCTGTGTATGTAATATTTACAGGGACAAGTATGAAACCAGATTCATTCACAAATGACTCACAAGCAAAGAAATGGGACAAATTCCCCACTAATATCACTTTAACTAATACTACATTTTTAGTCTTATTTTTACCCTCTCAAAGGCTAGAAAAACTCAAGAAAACTCACTTTTGAATGTAATTGAAACATATATTAAGGACAAGTAGTACCGAGGAAAAGTAAATCCTAATAAATCGTTTCATTTTTTTCAGACAAAGTACCATTATTTGGCATAACTATAATAACCGCAGGCAAAAACAATTGCCCAGATACTTCAAGCATCTGTCAGCCTTGTCTGCTCCATCACAGACACTGCCACAAAGTCTCATTGAAAATAATATCACCCAGAACAAAACCCACTCAAAGACAGCTTAAGATTCATCTCCTTTGATCCTTTTTTTTTTTTCTTTTTTTTTTTTCCATTTGGAGTCTAGTGGTAAATTTAAAGCCCCACTTCTAACTTAGCACTGGATAAGGGAAGCTTTTTTGACTGAGTTAAGGGCTTGTGAAAGTGAAAGACATTAACTGTTTTCTTAATAAATGCAGACAATGAGGATAGTCTTGAACAACAACAGCAAAGTCACTGTTCTGATCTCGGACTTGAATGCTGTCATCGATCAGGGATTGCTGGATGTGCCTGGAAACCTCTTTCAAAAGAAGTATGGAAATCCAGATGAACTACAGTACAACATAGAAATCAAATGTAATTTTTTCTACATTTTTCTATCCATTTAAGCCTCTGCCTGACGTTGTTAAAGCTCTAGCATGTTTATTCATGGCATCTGCCCTACTGGGAATTACAGCCTTTCAGTAACCCTAAGTACTGGAAAAGAGCCAATAAAATTGAGAATGGAGCACGCAGTTATATCCGTTTAATTTCAAAGGTTAAGAATGAAAGGCTTTGATTCTCTCTTAATGCCTTCTATGGTGGCGGGAGTGGGTTTTGTGCTCCCAAACGACACATCTTCCAAAAGAAGGCTGATAAACAGGCACACTCACATTTTATGATTTGCTTTGATAAAAAGGAGTTTTCTAGAATTATGTTTTGCATTTTCTCCCGTTATTAATTGCAGTGCACAAAATCACCTCCTGTGGCCAGATTTTACACACTGTATGCTGAACTGGATGAAGACCTTTCAGCTTTCACATCTTTTTTGCTCTATTAGGGCCTGCAGAATTGATGCTGTGCTGTAAATACTAAAACACATGGTTTGCATGCAGCCATGACATGATACATTTGCCAGTCTACCGAAAAGCTATGGGAACATAATGGCGAGTTAATTCTAATATTAACAGACTGCCATTTAAATCATTAGCAAGAAATGGGTAAGATGGACCGTCTGTGCTTAGAGCTGATGGAGGAATCCTCAGCTCTTTGTTCCTGGCCCGCCGCAGGCGTGCTCCCTGACAGGGGATGCACCACCACCTGCCTGTGATGGCTTTTGGCAGGAATAATAATTCTCTTTGTTCATAGAGCCATCAAGAGAACCATCTGAATAATGTTGAGATGAGACTTAAAAGCAATGCACAGGAGTTTTTTATTACATTCACTCTTTTTATTAATTATTATCTTTTCAGAGGTGGATTTATTGCATTCTCAGTTTCCACTCCTTTTCCAAATTGTTATTAATAATAAACAAAGCTTACAGACCCTATGTATATGTTTTCTGACAGTAAGACCTGTTAGCTAGAAGGATATAGATTCAGAGAGGTACAGTCATGATGCAGCTTGTGGCACAGAGTGGTAGCCTCTAATCTTTTGGGGGAACATCTGCTCTGCTTTTTGGTAATACTATATATATTTCCATAGAATGCTATGGAATATCTGTAGTTATTGTTTTAAAACAATTCCCTCCTGCACAACAGATTTTTCTTTTTCAACCATGTAGAAGCTCAGATAAGAAATTTAGTATTGCATATAACCATATTTCAGCTTGCACTTGTGCAAAGTTTACTCTTTCCACTTTGGCCATGATAATTATGTCAGTGCAGACACAGTAGTAATGGCAATGGGGACAGAAAACATGCATACCGGGGTCCTAAGGGAACTGGCTGATGTGGTTGCTGAGCTGTTCTCCGTCATATTTGAAAAGCCATGGCTGACAGGTGAATTTCTTGGTGACTGGAAAAAGGGAAACCTCACTCCCATTTATAAGAAAGGGAGGAAGGATGACCTAGGGAACTAAAGGCCAGTAAGCCTGACCTCTGTACCTGGGAACATGATCTGGGAACAGATCTATGGCTCTATGTCCAAGTGGAGGCCAGTAATGTGTGGTATACCTCAGGAGTCCATATTGGGACCAATAGTCTTTAACATCCTCGTTAATGACATAGACAGTGGGATTGAGTGCACCCTGAGCAATCAAGCTGAGTGGTGCAGTTGATACAGCAGAGAAAGGGACACATCCAGAGGGACCTTGATAAACTCAAAACCTAATTGTGTTCAACAAAACAAAGCACAAGGTTTTGCACTTGTGTTGGAGGAATCTCAGATATGTATACAGACTGAGAGAACTCCTTGAGAGTAGCCCTGCTGAGAAGGGGCCATGGTAGATGAAAAACTGAACATGAGCCAGCAGTGTGTGCTTGCAGCCTGGAAAGCCAACTGTATCCTGGGCTGCATCAGAAGAGGGGTGATTGTCCCCCTCTACTCTCCCTTCATGAGGCTCATCAGGAGTATAACATCCAGCTCTGGGGCCTTCAACACAGGAAAAATGTCAGGCTTTTGGAGAGAGTCCAGAGGAAGGTCACAAAGATGATCACAGGGCTGGAGCAGCTCTCCTGTGAAGACAAGTTGAAGGAGCTGGTCTTGTTCAGTCTGGAGAAGAGAAGACTGCAGGGAGACCTCTTTACAGCCTTCCTGTATTTAAAGGGAGATCATAAACATGAGGGAAAACAACTTTTTACATGATAAGACAAGGGGGAAAACTAAAGGAAGGAAGATTTAGGTTAGATATTTGAGGAAGTTTTTCACTGAGAGAGTGGTGAGGTGTTGGAACATTTTGCCCAGAGAGGCTGTGGATGCCCCATCCACAAGGATGGTGCTCAGTGCCAGGTGGGGTGAGGCCCTGAGCAGCCTGATCTACTTGATCTAGCAGTTAGCAATTCTGCCTGAAGCAGAAGGGTTGGAATTTGGTGCTTCTTGAGGTCCCTCCCAACCCAAGCCATTCTGTGATACCATGATTCTATGATTCTATAACATAAACTTGAATTCTGACTAATTTCTAAGTAATTGCGCAGTTGCACTAATCAAAATGCTATAAACAGAGGTCTTAATATATTTAAAGCCAAATATAACAGAAAAAAAAAAAAAAAAAGCTAGAAATGGCAGCAAGCCAGTCACTTGATCTCCCTTCTATATTTCACAGGTTTGAATGACCTATTATCTTCGCTGGCACACTCTACAGATATTCGAGTTCTCCTAAGCTGTATATCTTCAAATCTTCAGGCTTTTGTCATTCAGGTATAAAATTAATTTAACAATTTTAGAAAAGGAAGAGTGATCACACCATTTATCCCTCTACACTCTGTCAAAAGTTTGCAAGAGCTACATTATATACTAGCAACATGACCAGACTGCAGATTTGCATAAATACAATTTATGCATGCTGCAGAAAAAGGGAGAATTAATTGGCATACAAAAATTCCATCTGTGCGAACAACTACAAATGTATTTCTATGCATATATCCACTTCAGTGATTACAGTATTTGGTCTCATTTTGTAGATGTACTCTGTAACACTGCCTTATAAATCAAGATCTCTAAGAAAAATGTCCATATAAATAAAGAGAACACTTAATGACTCCTGGGATTGTTGATTTATGAAACTGTTGATTTTCAGCAGGTTGTAGGAGAGTGAGAAATGCTAGAGCAATGGTCCTATCTCTCATGAAAGATTCAAGTGTGACCATCTTTGCGTATAGACTTCTCCCTAAGTTACCAATTCTTGCACCCCTTGTCCATCAGTGATCCAGAGCTAGTGGTAGTTTGATAGCAGCACTGCATTCTGTTGGTTGGACAGGCCAATGAATCTGGGGCTGGAGGGTAGTTAAATTCTTTTTTTTAATTTATTTTTCTGAAGAAGCAGGATAAACTGTACTTACTTCTTCAGCTTTTTTTCCTAATATTTTGAGTGGGTTTTATAATTTGAAATAGCATTTTGCAGTTCTGTGGTGCCTTCATCTCACAGAACCCTTAGCTGCAGAGAAGATGGAGGTTCACAGTTATAGGGTGTAAGGCAATAGCCACAGCAAAGGAAAAATTCAAAAGATTAAAAAGCAAACATGAGGACAGTCAAACACATGAAGAAGTTACCCAGAAGGGTGGAGAATACCTCAGAGACATTCAGAACTTGACTGGAAAAGACCTGAAAAAAGATGACATACAAAGATCCCTTTCAACCTAAATTATTTTAACTTAATTTTCCATCTTTGTATGCCGTCTGTGCAGGAAAATAGTCCACAACACAACAAGGGAGTCTTTTAACCGGCTTCATCATAAAGCATCTTTTTTTTTTCTCTGTTTGCAGCCAAGCAGGAATAAACAGGAGTTTATAAAACTGGCAGCTGATTTCCAGTTGAGATGGAACTTCCTATTGAGCACAGTAAGCAAGGCGATGACACTCAACTATGCAGACAGTTTTGGTAAGTGAGAGCTTTGTGCCTGTCATCTCATGTGACCTGAGATGGCAGAGGGACCTGATCATTTCAGCTGACATCAGTCAAGCTACAGTCCAAATGAGCATCACCTCTCTAGGATGAGCACAAGGGAGAAAGGGAGAAAGATGCAGCTGGAGATGGCAGAGGAGCAGGACTCCCTGTTTTGGTAGAGGCTATCATTTAAGGTGAAACAGATAACAGCATCCTTAGATGCAAATCTCTCTTCACCCCCATTGCAGGAACTCCATCAGGAAGGGGTGATAGAGAGCTGGGGCACCAGCAGCCCTAACCATAATAATTGCATATATCTCAGGTGGTAGCTTCCAGATTCCCATATTCTTTCTGTATAATACAGTAACAGCAGATCCAAACACTTGTCAAAAACGCAGTTAGTTCTTCCTAGAGAACGGATAGGCTCCTTTCCTTTGCTTATGCCTTTTAGACTGACTGAAAACTAATCACTCCTTCAGCTGGATGTGTTTTGTCTCTGTTGTAGTGCTCAGAGCTGTCTAGCACCAAATCCAACACACACTAGTGCAAAGCAGGAGAAGTGAGGGGCCTTTGCAGTCGCATTTACTGAAAATGCCTTGAAGTGGTACCACTGTGTCTTGAAACAACTGTTCCTCTTCTATACTGCATCAAACCTAACTTCCTTTCTCTTTCTTTGTAAGACCTTTCAGAGGCCATCTGTCTTTTATTTATTCTGGAGCAATGCACTGTCTCCTCAGAGTAACATCTCAACCCAGACTACCATCTCAACCCAGAACTACCTTTCAGACTTTCAAAGAAGCACCTTCATAATTTTTTGTGTTCTGTTGGAGGGAGCTTCACACCAACAGCCAAAAAACCCTCATTATCTTCTTAGACATTCCCCTTCAAAGCTTAGGGCTTTGTGTTTCCTACAAAGACATAACAAAGGGGTATGCTAAGGTTGCTGCCTTTTATATTTTTCAGCATTCTTTCCCTGTTACTGACTGTGCTTGTGTATATACATGCACAGCCCTTTTCTGCATCTAGCTGTTACCTTTTGCCTCATAATTAGGTTGCAAACTCCCTGGAGCAGGATTGGAGGTTGGCTCTCTGACTACACAGAATACAGCACAGTCGGATCCCTTGTCCATGGCCGGCTGCATCAAAGTAATAATAATCACATCTATCTCTGCAGAAGTGTTCTGCACAAAACTCCTCAAAGTTAGATGCAATATTTTGTGTCATGAGTGAAAATTGTGAACGAATTCCAAGAACAGCACAAGATGCTCAGTGTTTATTAAAATTGCCAATGATGATGAAATCCTCTTCCCACCTCAAGAAGAGCTTAATGAATCGGCTCCCTGTTCTTTAGTTGTTAATGGCTGGGGACACAATTAATACCATCTGATGTAAAGCATCCTATCCTCTGCTGAGCCCTTCTTAAACTAGTTACAAACAATATTTTCATCTCACATTATACAGTCTTATTACTGTACTTCATTAACACTGAGATTTAATTCATTTTCACATGACAGAGTTTTTAAAATGTCTTTTAATCTTTCTCTGTGATGTTCCAATTAAATTGGTCATTATTATCTTCTTTCCTAAAACCATTCGTTCCTTTAGATGTTGGGTTATATGATGTAACAATGTCCCATCTCTCCCAGGTCTCTATTCCCACATTTCTATTTGAAGCCTTAGTGGTCAAGGCTTAGTTATTTTAACAAGCCATTCTGCACTCAGGCCATTGCTTTTCATAAACGTCTTAAATCTCAGCATTTCATACAGAAATGGTGGGGATCCTGCAAGTCAAAATATGCTGCATCCACTGAGGTTTCACAATTACTTAGGAAAAATGTAGAATTTTTGGTAAATGTGTGTCATGTTAATGCAGCATTCATCCCCACAACGTAAGTCACATACCAGAAACCAAATACAAAGTCACTTCTGGCTGGGGGTTTTTGCTTGAAACTTAGCATTTCTGACACACATAAGTTACTTCTGAACTCAGGATTGTCTTCTGCCCTATTCCAACTTGGCCTCCTCATGGATGATGCTCAAGTGCAATCAAAGGAGCCTGCAGTTAGTCCCCTGTAAGGCTGAAAGGAGTAACAGCAATCAGGGCACGTGAAGTCATGGGACTTCACGGCATTAGGAAACATGGTTTACTGATGGGACTCTGTAGATCTGGTTGATAGTTGGGCTTGATGATCTTGAAGATCTTCTCCAACCCAGTTAATTCCATAATTCTATGCTAGAGCTCTTCTATTAACACCTCCTTTCCAGAATATGTGTGTCTACTTATCTCAGACACAAAACCAGCTGATACACCTTCGTTTTCTTTGTTAGTATCTCCTCTGAGGTGTTCAGGGGAGTATAGCCAAGCCATGGTGGCTGGACAGTCACCTACATATATACTGTAAGTACTTCCAACCACAGGTACAAGTCAAAACTCGGTGACCTTCATGAGTCCTTTTGGCTTTTGGCAACTATAACTTGGTATTTTGGCATACCCAGCTACAAGGTAGGCCATTTAATGTCATAGGTTTGGAACAAACTGAAATCTGTAGGAGGGTTAGCTTGGGAAGAGGTTGAATAATTTATCTGAGTTAGGGGGAAATGCAGACAATGCATGCTAGTTAACAGGCCTTATAAGGACAGTGAATCTGGGGGATGAACTTGAATAGAAAAGTGAATAAACACAAGCACGTTTTTCTCTATTGGTAAAATTTGGGAAAAGGCTTTTGTTTATGTTTAAAATCCATAGTCAGTGCCCTTTTGCTGTGGTGGTTGGAGGTAGGTCGTTATGCAAGCATTATTTGATGAGTGCTAGTTGGCTACTTTGTCTAGCCCATCACTACAATGAAGCTCTTCAAAAAAAAGAACAAATCAGGAAGGTATGCAAATTAAAAGGTTGCTACAACTACTTCTGGTTTTCTTTAAATCTAGGATCCTGGCATTTGTTTAATTTGCTACTCTTGGACTACGTTGCTCACATCTTCCAGTCCTATATAGAGGAGGAAGAAGAGGGAGAAGAAAGTTTTTGTGTCACACAGCAAAGCGACCAGCCTGTTCTGTGGGTTTATGAGCCCACCTACTTTGGGGGCTACTTTGCAGAGGAGGAACCTCAAGCGGAAGCTCCTCAGTCAACTCTCATAAGTTTGATGCTGAACCAGAGCGACATCAGATTAAGCAACGTATATTCAGAGTTCTGAGTTTTTTGGGGGAGAAAGCCACAGAAATCAAGGTGAGATAAAATATTAGCTCTGAAGAAAAATTTAAAAAAAAAAGAAAAAAGAAAAGGAAGTTGTGGAAATCGGGAGAGGTGCAGACTTTGTAGTTTTTTCTGTGTGAAGTAGAACTAATGAAATCCAGGTTTGCATGGAGCTATGTCCACTGTCATCCACACCTCAAGCCAAAAGCCATCCTCCCACAATCCCTGTTAATGGATTATTCATATATAACTTCATATTGCCTATCTAACTTCATAGAACTTCATATTGCCTACCTCCCACTCACCCCATTCTTCCTTCATTCTTCCTTCATTTTCCAGAAGTCTTTCATCTTTTTGTTAGGTTCCCCAAGTATCATCTAAGCAAGAGCAACCTTATTCTGCTGGTTTGGCACAGCTCAGGGGTTAGCAGTCCAAATGGTATTTACTGATCAGAAGAGAAAGCACATAGCGTAGCCTTCTCTCACTGCTGGGAGCACTGAGAGACTCTCTTTCCTTCACCTAGCTATTAATTTTATCAAAGATGCTGAAGTGTGAAACACTTCGAATCTTTCTGCTGTGCCAGACTTTCTTGCAGTCAGTCCCCTGGTTTCAATTAGCAGCATAACGGGTGACAGGCCAGGTATAAAACGAAATTTCTGAGTCTTCTTAGGACACAAAGCTAAATCTTAGGATATATCGGAACACAGCTCAAGCCTTTTTGGTTAATACAAGTGATATATTCATCACTTGTACATTCAGCTGTTTTCAGATTTCTTAAGACTCAGAGAACACTGTGTTTTCTAGAACACGGAAAAGAACAAATGTCAGTGGCACCAAGATTAATAAGGAAATAACATTTTTGAGGTGATCATGCTGTTGTTATTCTACTGCTTATCCTGCACCTCCCAGGATGTATTCAGCTTCCATAAACTAGGACCAGGAGTGGAAATCGACTGTTTTAAAAAATATCTTTATTAGTTATAAGGACTCTTGGAAAACACTTGCTTTTAAATATGAGATATGCTAAAACTACTTCAGTAATGAAAATCAGAGGGAGAAAGGCACAAGGGGGAAAAAAAATGATTTGCATACGTCATGGGCAAGTTGGATAGATATTTTCATTTTTGAAATGCAATATAATGAGCTATCCTCCCATGCCACCTTAAGTTCAAAAACAAACTGATCTGGATGCAGATATGGCCAAGGAATCCCTAAACCACCAATGGTCAAAAATTAGGAGATAAACCAGTAGAAAGCCTATTCAATATCTACCCTGCTTTCTGTATTCTTTCACTATTCTGCCCTTAGGGGCTTTTGTGTGGCCTCTACAACAACTACAGTGCTCTTATGCAAGTGACAACAAAGATTTGACCCTGGTTTTGCTTTACATAAGTGATATGCCTACAAACAAATGTGTAATTTTTGCATATTTTGTACGTGACCTCAAGAATAGAGCAAGGCTGGTTAGAGTGAGGGATGAGCAGTGCCAAAGTAAGAGAAAATGACTACAAAACCCAAAATGGGGAGTAGCATGACTTGTCAAGGTATCAAGGACGAAAGGAAAAAGTGAAGGATGGAGAAAGTATAGGAAGAGCTTAGAGAGGAAAATCTTGCCAACTAAAGGACCTGAAACTCTGGGTTCCATCAGTCCATGTGCAAGATGCTGATAGTGGAATGAAAAACAGCGCCCAGTAAGAGCCTGCTAATGCTGTGCCTCAAGTGTCTGCAGTTAGTGAAGGAGATGAAAAACTGGAACCTGCAGCTCAGAAGGGTTTCAGGAGCTGTGATAGAGTGGGTGAGTATTTCTGGCACTGGTGTCCTTCGAATGGGTGGTAGCTCCCACCTCAGCCATTGCAGGCTCTCTCTCCTTGGATGTCATACTAACTCCACAGATTGATGAAAAATGCAATTCCGAATCATCTCCACCACCCACCACTTTGCTCATATTACCATATTTGCAGACCCCCAAACTAGATACCCTGTAGATTCCTGTCGCAAAAGAGTTTGTCTTCTGTGACTTTGGATCACCTTCCCATTCTCCTAGGCAGCCATCTGTCCCTGCTCCTACTAATTCCCCTTCAGCCAGAACCTGTATACAAACCCACAGCAGCCTGAACAGCATCCAGCAGCCAAGATGCTGTCTCCTGGATGGTATTTCAGCTGCACGACTTACCGCTCTGTGTATCAAGGGTGTGCTTTGTATTTTTTTCCTTTAAATCCTTCCCCTCACACAGCCTCTTCAGATCTCTTAGGCCTGGTGTCTCTCTGTATCTCCCATCCTCCACTTCATCCTCTGCCAACAACACCAACCTCCGTATCTTTTTCATCTTGTCCCACAGAGCATTTCTGTGCCTTCTCTACAGCCTGTTATGCTCAGGAAAAATCTGTTCATCGCACCTCCACCCGCATCTCATTGAAATTAGTGCTAAAAACTCAGTTCTGCTGTGAAACCCTGGAAAAATGAGAGGGAGGACTGGTAACAGAAATCAGAAGAGAATCTCCCAAGCTTGCCCTTGCATCAGCAGCAGCAATATGTGCCTATGTCTAAGCAGATCTCTTCATGATCTTTTGGTTGCCACCTTTATTTTTCCTTTTCCTTCCCCATCTGTTTTTGGTCCCCCACCTCTCCTTCATGCTGAATATAAATGAAACTCTTCAGCAGAGACACCATGTTTTTCCACACATATACGCATTTTTGAGCAATGCAGCATATACGTATTTTGTAATTCGAAGCATGAATACTGTTAATAATCTTGAGAATGGAACATATATTGCAAGCTGGTGACATCTCCCAAAGAAAATATTTTTATATTTAAAAAAAAAATGCAGAGGGAGGGGAATGAGACAATTCAAGATTTAAACAAACTGGCCTGATGGACAGCATTACAGATTGAACTCTATCCAGCTGAGAGCAAGTAGTTTGAACCAATAACTGTTGGAACCTATGGCATAAACAAAGATGCTCTCAGTGAACTTTAATACGTAACAGAGCAACTCAGAGAACGTCGGACTGATCTTCACTCCTTATCACAGAGCTTCCAGTCACTTTCTCTCAGCAAGAGTAGCAATTTTTCATCTAGAAAATCCTATTTTATGTTTCCTCTCTTTGTTCACTTGTTACCAAATTAAAATCCTATTAAATTGCACACCTGCAGTGGGTTTATCTGCAGAGCACTGTGCTGTGGCTTTTAATCCATTTCCACGCCTCTGTACCATACAATACACTGCAAATCAGAGCAAAGAGGCTGAGGGAACACTGTTCACAGCTCTATTGGTAAAAAGCAAAGCAAATACTTTGATTTGTTAAAAAAGGGAAAAAAATAAGGAAATATTAACTGCTTCACTTAAGTGAATAGTGAATGGTCATCTGAATAGTCTGTGTAATCCAGGATATAGAAATCAAGAAAAATAACTAGCTAAAATGATCAAAAATAAGAGCAAAGTGTTGACCCTGCTTAAATTCATTGGCAAAAGTTCCACTGATTTTAAGAAAGACGGGATTTCAGTATGTAAAAGCAGTCCCAGGGAGGGAGGGAGCTGGATTATGATTATTTCTTTTGGAAAAGAATAGTTGATAGTAGCCACATAAAGCGTGAGTACCAAAAAGGTGCTGTGTCCTACTGTTATACCTCTGCCATCCTATGAGGCAGCTCAGTGTGTTTGACAAACACAGTGTGTGGTTTAACTGATGTAAAATAGGTTGGGTATCTGCACCAAAAAAAAAACCCAAAAACAAAAAACAGACAAAAAAAAAAAAAAAAAAAGCAGAATATGAGGCAGGAAAGTAGAGAGAAGACTTTCTTGTTTAACAAAGCTGATTTAACAAAGATGATGAAGAAGATGATTTACATGATTTCCAGTTTCTCCAATCAAAATACTTACGTTTCTCTTCTAACTTTCAGCTCGTCATTTGGAAGACAAAATAGCAAAACCTTCCATTCAGTTGGATCTTGTGGTCAGAAGAAAAGCTCTTCTTACTCAAAGAGATGGACAGAATTTTTCTTTTCATTTTTGCCTCCCATTCCCAGTTAATTTTCAGAGAAAATCAGCCTGACTTTCAAAAATACTTTATAAACATAGGCCATTCTTACTTTCTAATACAATTTTAAGAAATAATATTTTCATTCTCTTAAGTTTAAGATCTTCCTCTGTAAATACTAAATGCCAAACTGTGCTAGTGAGACAGCTATTGTAAGTTGTCACGTGTTTTGGTTATTAGACTTAATTTGAATAAATCTTCAGAATGAAAAGGTGAAATGTGTGGGTTTTTTTATTTTATTTCTTGGACTTCAGACATCAAGGAAGCAGAAGGCCCATTTGAAGTCATTGTGTTAAACTTATCTGGAAGCTACAGAATAGATTGATGACCTTGAATCAGTGCTGCTTTCTGTCAGCAGTATGTCATTTAAAATTGACATTTATTACATGTAGAACTTAGCACTGATTTCTGTGTCTTGAAAAACTCCCGCTTTGCTTCCCACTTGTGCAGGATACAAGAGTCGATATCTCAGGCCTAATTTTATTAACTGACATCAGATAGGTTGTATATAATGTTATTGATTTGTTTATGTCGGAAAACAAGTTGTTGGAATGTGCCCTACAAGCAGAGCATGAGTAAAGAATATACAAAGAGGAACCTGGAGCAAACTTACGTGTTAAGGTAAATTTAGAGAATGAAATATATGTGGCATGTGCCTCACAATGCACGAGGAATTCGACTAACTGTCATGTGAGAAACACTGGGGAATTGGTTTTTTTAGGTGTTTTTGAAAAGTGCGTCCTGTGGGAGGAGGCTTCCTGGGTGTGTTCATTGTTTCAAGAGGGGACAGCTGCTCCATTAATTTTAAAAAGGGACATTTCCTGAGCTGGAAAGAAGCTTTCCTCAGGAGTTTATCAAACTTTTACTCATTTTGTGCTTGGGAAATCTACATTTATTTGTTCCTTGCATCTACACTCCTCAGCCCAAGCACTGAAGTGGGAATCGGTAGACAAAATAGCACAGCACATGCAGTCAGGACCATATGCTAAAGGAACAGCAGGAGAGTATTCAGTTCTCAGGCTGAGAATTTGGTGGGGAAATTACATACACTGGGGATGTATCTTTACCGTCTGAAAAATGAATTTCAACCTTAAGGCTCGTTGCACACCTTCAGGTGATTACAGTGAGGATAAAGGAATAAAATGAACAAAAAGAAGTTTAAAATGCTCAGCATTTCATAGATCCTTTACACTCAGGATGAGATATGCATCTTGCTCCCATGAGGCAATCAAGCAGAAGCCAATGACCAGCCCTGAAATCTGCTCTAACGGATCTGCTACATGTCCCTGAGAAGCTGCAATGGAAGAATAGAATCACAGAATCATTAAGGTTGGAAAAGACCTCTCAGATCATCCAGTCCAACCATCTGCCCACCTCCACCATGCCCACTGACCACATTCCTCAGTGCCACACGGCTCTGAAACACCTCTAGGGATGGTGACTGCACCACCTTCCTGGCAGCCTGTGCCTCACTGCCTCACTGCTCTTTTTGAAAAGAAATGTTTTTTAACACCCAGCCTGAACCTCCCCTGGTGCAACTTGAGGCCATCACCTCCTGTCCTATTACTGTTACCTGGAAGAAGAAGCTGACCCCCTTCTCTCCACAACCTCCTTTCAAGTAGCTGCAGGGAGTGATAAGGTCTCCCCTGAGCCTCCTCTTCTCCAGACTAAACAATCCCAGTTCCCTCAGCTGCTCCCCATCAGGCTCGTTCTCCAGACCCCTCACAGCTTTGCTGCCTTTCTCTGGACACACTCCACGGTGTGGATGTGTTTCTTGTAGCAATGGGGCCAAAACCGAACACAGCATTGAGATGTGGCCTCACCAGTGCCAAGTACAGAGGGACGATCACCTCCCTGCTCTTGCTGGCTGCACCACTTCTGATACAAGCGAGGATATCGTCGGCTTTCTTGGCCGCCTGGGCTATATCAATTATATATATATACAATTGAGCTCGCAGCGCTGCTCTGTAGGGATCTACTGCCAAATGAAGCACCCCTGTGGGGTAGAGCCGTTTAAACAAACTGCAATATTCACATCTTTGCCTGATTAAGACCTTGCCCGGCGACCGCAGCACAGTGCAGCAGCTCCGCGCACACGCAGGGCAGCACGGCCCGAGTTTTGCCCCCCGCCGCGCGGAGCTGTCCAAAGGCGGCTCTCTCCGTATCACAGACCGGCCGTGCGGACCCGGGGGGCGTTGCGGGCGGCCCCGCGGAGCCGCACTCGCAGCGGGCGGCCGCGGGAGGGTGCTGCGAGCCGCGCCGCAGAAGATGTCGGCGGCGCGGTGCTGGTGGTGGCTGCCGGCGCTGCTATGGGGCGGCGCGGGGGGCTACGTGGTGCTCAGCTCGGTGTCCTGGCCGCTGCCCGAGGCTGGGGGAGCGGCCGACGAGCTGCACAGCTCCTCCACCGAGGAGGCTCTGCCCGGCCTGCTGGAGGAGGCGGGCGGCATCTGGAAGCAGAGTTTCCCGGCCTCGGCGTACCGGGAGGACGCGGCGCTGGGCCCCGGGGCGACGGCGCGGCGCCCGGAGCAGGGGGCCGCCCCCTCCCGGATGTTCTCGTACCGCCGGCAGCCCGCGGCACCGCCGGGCCGCGCCGCCACCGCCCGCCGCCTCGCCCGACACGGCGCCTGGGGCTTCGTGGCCTCCCGGGCCGCCCACGGAAAGGTACCGCGGGGCGGTGCGGGGGGGTTCCGGCTTTAACGCGTTCCCCTGCGCGTCCCCTGGCGCTCAGACCCGCTGAGATAGGTTCGAATGCCTCCTGAACGAGCCCACAGCGCGGTTAGCTCACTGACCGCTTCACTTTGCTCCTGACTTTGTCTTGTTATTTTAAACTTCAGAGAGCTGGGCTGAGCCGGTAGGCGCCCGCGTTAGCGTGAAACAACGCGTTTAACACCATAGCATTAATGACACGTATACAGCCGCGCACAAAAGCTCTGGTTCCACGTCAGGTTGACAGAGATTCTCTTGAAGCCCTAAGACTTGAGAGCTGCTGGTTGATGCACTCAGCACAGCCCCTTGGTAGGACAGCTCCCAAACAGTCTGCAGTCATCTGGGGATTGCATAAGGCTGGGGGTTAGGGAAAGGGGCTGCACCAGAGGCCGTGGAACAGGATGCCCAGGGCAGTGCTGGAGTTCAAGGAGCGTTTGGACAGCGCTCTCAGACACGGGGTTTGGATTTTGGGTGGTACCGTGTGGAGCCAGGAGCTCCACACATGATTCTCGTGAGTCCCTTCCAACTCTGGATATTCTGTGATTCTGTAATATTACTGACAGCTGCTGGTTTTGTTTTGTTTTCCATTACGATTCTTAATAATAAACAGGCATTTTTAGCTTCTAAGTTATACAGCTTCATTAAAGCGTCCCTACTAACATTTCCCTACTAACATTCATGAGGACCATTTATAAGCACTATGAACATTCAAATTCTAAAAGTGTGTAAACATTAAAAAATGAAAAGCGTGCACTCCAAGTAATAACATCATCCAGGGTTTTCTTATTAAGTGTTCACACTTAATTTGATTTGGCTGTAAAGGATTTTACCAGCTGCATTGAATTAATATATTGACTGATAATTATACTATTTAACATGGAAATGACCATGAAGAAAGAAATATCTGAAGACACAAAAAAGTATTAATTCAGTAAAAGGGTGTCTCTTGATGACAGCAGAAGGTGGGAGACTGAGCAGCTGGGGGTTGCTGTCCTTCCTTCTAGAGCCCCATGGGTAATGACCAACACTGGGAACTGTCTGTGTGCAGAGATGCTGACGATGACTTATTTGGGTTTTGCAGATCCAAGGAATGCCCTATGGGAACCTTTTGCCTATCAGTGACGGTCCTGTCAATAACAGCACTGGAATCCCTTTCTTTTATGTGACGCTGAAAGATAATGCAGTGGCAGATCTCTTGAAGGATCCTGTAGCTTCACTGACCCTACCAGAATCAGATGGGAATTTCTGCAGGTAACAGAATTTTATCTGCCAAGTACCAACCTCAGTGAGAACAAATTCAGGCAAATATCCTAATGATTCTATGATTCTACTCGGGAAAATGGTTTGGTGGGTAACATTGGTGGTGGGTGGATGGTTGGACTTGGTGATCCTAGAGGTCTTTCCCAGTCCTAAGGATTCTATGATTCAGGGATCCCTCCTTGGAGGTGTCTCC